TAAGTCCCTCCCCCATCCACCTTTATTGTTTTCTTTACAATAAGGCTTTCAAATAAGTCATGGTTGTACGGCAGTGAAGAATCGGTGCTGAACACTGATGTCATGCTGTCGATGATGATGATAATGATGATTATGTTCGAATTGGGACTCATCAGGTGGGCTTAGTTGGGATCGGTCAACTGATCCTTCTGTCGCATTCTTTGTAGGTCGACGTGGGTCACACACTGGACTAGTGGTAGATTTTTTTCGAAAGAGTTACTTTTTTGTGACCAATTTAAAGAGGGCTCCATTGGCTGTTTGGAACGATACTGACCCTAATCTTTCCTCGTTCCTTTTCTTTCAAGGAATCCCTATCCATGCAACTGATATCATTCGTCACCAACGTCAAACTTGACCCGCACTGCCGTGCTCCCAAACTTGTCCAGATATTCCCCAACCAGACTGCCATACTAGAACGCTGTTTGAAATCCTCTGAGCAAGCGGACGCATTTCGTACACTGACGCAACTGTTCCGTTTGCCTCCCGTGCAAGAAATGATCCCAAGCAACGCACAACGGTGTGATTTAGTCGCAGATTTCCAGGCGACCGGTGCACCCTTCTTGGCCCTCAGTCGACTTCGACGTGCCCTGTGCAAAATGCAATCATCCATTCACATGGATGACCCCATCCCTAACGATATTACAGAGAAGGCGGAACGGATGGCGCAGGAGGCGTTTATTCATGTTGCAGAGGCCTGTAGACACGGTAAGTCCGAGTACTGTTGTCTTTTGATCGTGTAATTATCCTGCTATCATCAACATTTACTGCTTCGCTGCCGTACAACCATCTTGAATTCTTGTTTCTGATACACAGCACACATCGGTGTCAAGCGGTTCCATTGCGAGAGCAAGAGTGGCTTGTTTTCCTGCTTGCTTCGGAGTGCGAACGTAGCCAGATAGACTGGGCGTCAGGCTTGAAGATTGATTTCGAGCTGCCTGGAGATGTCAGCGCTGGATGACGCGCAGCTTTTGCTGCCAAAACGGATGCAGGAAGAAAGGAATCATTGGTTCTAACTAACTGATCTAAAAATAGAGTTACCACCTAATGAGTTGGCGGAGAGGAGAAAGATTGGAGGCATCATCAGTAACCTGGTTTCGCTTACCCGCCCTGCGAGTAATGGGACGCAGCAGACGGAACCACGCGACGGTTAATGTGGCTTGAGTTTATTTCTGTGTATGGAATTCATCGTTTTACGTGGGCTGGGATACTGCCAGGACGCCCAAGCCTAGACAGGGGAGGTCGAGTTCGAACCACGGACCTTCCGGTCAGTAAATTCGCGCTCTAACCACTTGGTCCATCTGGCCCCAAATTCAGGTGCATTACTATTATTATACGACGGGTCGTCACACGTGTTCCAAACCCCAACCAGGTGGGAGCCTGTGCACGGCATTGAACAACCTGCTGTGAGAGACTGCGAATGTCTCAAGGACACTGCACCCCCGGTATAGCTCAATGGACCAAAGCTCCATGTTGTACTTCTGTGTAAGGAAGGGGTAGCTTGGGCAGTATCACTACTGATGTTTCGGCAGACCAACACGTACGGGGTCCTGATGAGGATTTGTGTGGATCTCACACAAGTTATTTTGATCGCTGCTATTTGGTTTCGCGCAGCCAACAATGAGCGGTTGTTGGGTGGCTCACGCTTTCACGCGGGAATGTTCCATTGCACAGCGTTTAGAATCCTCGTCTGGTTCGACAATCCAAGCCTCCAACTTGGGGTGCGGATCATGCGCACTCAACAAACATGAGTGCGCAAAATGCGAGAATAAATCGTCTTCCGCTTCTGGTAATTTCGAAGTGTCACTGTGAAACATAGCAGGCTTGAACCGCTACATCGTCCGGACTGTTCTTCGCTGTGACCCAAATATCTGGAAGAACTTAACCCACCAGTATTCAATCCCACCCCGCATGTTGTCTTGTCGCTTCCGTTTTTAGTTTGGTATGCGCCTGAACCTGCTCTTCATAGGCCCCCGATATGGACTTTTTGCGTCGAATCCACACCAGCACGACGTAAGGAATAGTTCTGTTGTGTTTACTGGTCACCAAGCGATCAAGCCTCCCATCTTCTCTTCCTTTTTTAGTTCCGATTGCGGACACATGTACTTCAGTCTGGCCCCGTAATGTACGTTTTGCACTTGCGGTCCTATTTTTGTCAAGCACTCACTGAATGCGGTGAGGCCGAATGCCTTTCAGCCACCAACCAGCCTACCCTATTCCTAACTCACGACGGCGACGATGCTCGAGCTCTGGATCTGTTCGAAACCTCAACCCGTCGGATGAAATTCCAAATTCTGCCTTCTCAGTTCTTGTAAACTAGCCCCACTGGTTTTTTATTCAGAACTGACCGTCATCCTCTGGTCGGCACGAAGGAAAGTTATCTGACAAGAGTAACTCGAGTATAACAAAGACAAGGGGTGCAGTCAGCTGTGCGAATGAAGATGGATGGCAGATGTCTTTGTTTCAGAAGAGGCTCTTTCATCGCAGTAGTGAAATAAGAATTGCCTACTTGTTGATATTCGTTGAAGAGTACCAATGCAGGCTGTGGGGCAAACTCGGATGTCGTACAAAAGAGGAACTTAAGATGGTGTAACATCTTTTTGGAACTCATGAGGTGAAGTTTACCTTCTTGGAAGTGCTCGTAGCAATGGGTTTTCACAGACAAAGAAGGGGTTGTAAGGTGAAGAACTAGCATTACACGCAGGATCCTATAGAAAGCTGAAAGCGGACGGAGAGAGGGGAGGATGGAGAGATCTGGAGCTGTGGAGGGTGAACACTGCTCAGCGGTTGTAGCGTTGGTAACGCTGAGTCAGCTTTCTTTAGCAGGCAGGCTGTTTCCCTGCTGAATTCGGAGAGGCAGTCAACGCAGGAGAGTATGCAACAAATTACAGGATGTCTCACCGGACAGTGCACGTACCAACAAAGGTTCGGATAGCCTTCCTGAACCTATCCGCAAGGTATGACTGCCAGTCGATCTCATTCGCGTTCGTGCTGTCAATTTCTATCCCAATTGTCCGTGTGTGTGTTTGGGAATGTGAGTGCTTTGCTTGTCAGCTGGAGGCTTAAACCGTGTCCCTTCCTCGCCTTTATCGGTTCTTTTAGTCATGGAACTTACTTTCATTGAATCAGGCTTATTTAGTAATAAAACGTTGATGTTGCTGTCGATGAGGGTGTTGTCGATGCCTAAGAAACCCCGTTCTACCCAGATTATCAACTTTGAAAACTGACGAATCACCGGAGTACGTCAACTACAGCTGTGCAACTCGCTCTGTGGTAAAGAAACGTTTGTATGACCGACGTAGGTCTCTCTAGTCCTCCTCATGATTATTACTCAACTTTATTTCTTTCATGAAATGTTTGTAACAAAATTAGCAACCTCTGCAAACAACTGGACCACCAGCATTCTCCAGTGATGAGCGGCATTCATAATTGAGAGCCCAGCTTACGCTATGAGTGCACAGTTTCTTTCGCGGTCTAGAAGAGTTTAGGACTGCAGCTGGTGAGTATGAACCTTTTTCAGCCATGCCTACGGTTGTCTGCTTCCTCATCGAATAACATGTTCTTTCTGTTACTCTACTTCAGCTGGACGCTTGGGTGACCTTGTGAATTTGGGCTTGTCTTCTTCGGAAGCTCGGATTTTGGTGGACCACTATTGGCGCTCAGGCCGCTTCGACGTACTGTTTCACTGTCTGCTTGCTCGAAAGCAATACTCGGTAAGCTGCACTGACTGTCTTATCACCCTGTCCCATGTTTCGCTGACTCGCGCTTTTCTGCCGCACTATTGCTAGTTTTCTTCAACCTAAGCACCTCTGATGACCACTCAACAGTGAAAGCACGGCCTGCTGCGTCCCGCTGTGTTCTTGCCATTAGTCACTGCTTCAGCTCAGTTGAGTGCTGCAACCCACAGTGCATGGTGGAATGACGGAAAGCAGACAGAAGTGGCCTCACAGTTGTTTCGGTGTCTGCAACGTGGACGATAACGTTTCTCATTTGGTCAGTCTCCTACTAGGTTGAGTCGGCTTCGATCCTCTCATAGTTTGGACGTTGCCTCAACTGTCAGGTGTCCTCTATCTAAGATAGTCCACTGTAGACTTATAAAGTACTTTCAAAATCTGCGTAATGCACTACTCATAAATGAGAGTTCAGCTGGGTCCCAGTTGAGTACCGCAAAACCAAATATGTTTGCAAGTGAGTGTCTTTCGCTACTTTCAAAATCAGTTTTCTCCATGTTGCTCTCATCGTGGCCGTACATCTACCACTGCGGACCGCCCCGTTCCGGTCTATCGAATTCAGCACGAAGTTGGAAGGTCTTACCGGAAAGGTAATAAAAGAAATCGTTCAATGTAACACTATTTCGGTGCCTAGCTACCATGGCACCCGAAGGAAGCAGGAGGGCTGTGCTACTGCGAGGTTGTCCAAGCCCAGACAGGAAAAGCCGAGATGCAGAGGTCTGGTTTGAATCACGGACCTTCCGACCCATCTTGTCCCCTTACTGGCAAGACCAGCTGCGCCTAATATTTTGTAGGGTATTAAAGTTCAAAGTATAGAAAAGCTGGTCTTCGCTTGGAGGGTTTTCCAAATGTATCTACTTAACTTGTACCTGCATGGCGTTTTTCGTGTTGAGTTCTCAGTGGAACTGTTCGGTCTCGAACAAATTCCAGACGAGGTGAACGTGTTTTTTCCGACAGTTCGTATGTTGTATCTTCTAAGCGTGTTTTTTATTCAATTCAGAACGCTCTATCGGTGTTTGAAGAATGTCGACGCCACGGATATTGTGACATTCCGAGTACGGCTCCTAATAGCCAAGACAACACTGAAACCACGTTGAATTTTATCTCAAAGCTTCTGTCAGACTCTCTACCGGCCTGCACAGATGACATTGGGCCACAAGAGGGAGACAAGCCCAGTAAGATTGCACGGGCTTTAACTTGTCTGTTCTCGGAAAGTACCGGGGAACGAGAAACGACTGTCCCGAACATGTATGCAGTGGCTTATCGGCGTGATTCTGCCGTCACGTGTCCACTGACCACAAAAAAACGGGAGGATACAGTCCTCAAACGTTCTCGGAAACGTGACTATTCGCATCCTGACCTAGCCGGATTCTCCTCGGACGAAGAGTCTTCCTCTCCGGGTCGATCCAGTCGACTACTGTCTACTGCAAAGAAAAGTTCCTGCGAATTTTGGGAGACGTTTCATGAGTAAGTGGACAAATTTTCCGTTCATCGTGTTTCCACGCTTGATTAACAGCTCATCTTGGAACACCTTCATCTTTCAATCAGATCTTCGCACAATGGTTGGTCACCTCGTCCATACCTAGGAAATCTGATATGATTTTTCTCCCCTGAGTTGTGCTAGACACGACTGAATACAGTAGCTCTCAACTCATAACTTAAGATAGCCTGACTGCCCCATGTGTCGGGAGCATGGCTGTGATCCGGCTTCATAGGGAAGCCGGAAAACTGAAAACTGCACACCAATTGGTCAATCTGCCCGATAGAAGTCCTCGATAGATTCCCTCAGGTAGTAAAGTTAGCCCTGTGAAGACTCGATCGTCGTTCCATGTTGCTGGAGGGTGTTGTCGCTTTGCCGGTATGTCAAATAAAAGTGCATTTGTAGCCCACAGATTAGTAATGGATCAATCACTGTTCATCAAGTACAACGATCCGAATGCGGTTCGTTCGCTTTTCATTGTTTTTTTTTTTGGGGGGGGGGCGTGGACTAGCAGCCAACCTACATTTTTTCTGCGTCTTCATGCATTCCTAAAAAGGGCATTGTCTCAAAGCCGAAGGACAAATTTAACTGGTTGTTTATGACTGATGAACGGCTTGAGGGAGGTTAGACAAAGTACACTACCTCGTATCATGTGAAATGGAAGTGAATTTCACGTGGCCACGGTTTATCGAGTGTTGAAAATTTCAAGGCCGAGTTTATTAGTTTCTCTGTACTCGGACACAAGAAGTAACCAATTTTTTTGGTTCTTAGTTTGTTCAAATGCCTGTTTAATCTAGAAGTAGTTCTCCCATACACGGAGCAAGATCTCTCGTGTAATAGCCAACGGGGATTTAGGGAAAGTTAAGGAGTAAATCACCGCTTTCTGACGAACAGTCACGCCGGGACGTCTCTGATGTGACTGCAACCTAAATGGCACTCTGTTGTTCCCGTTTTGATGTTCGACGAACCATAGGTTAAGAATCCACGTCTTTCAGATTTGAGGGGTCACTCAAACAACGCATCCGGACGTCGGCTCAGAACTAGGCACAATCGTGCTTTTATCAGTATTTGACGGTTTGTGCGACTGGTGTAGGGCAGTTTGGGCTGCTGAGCCAACCTTATTCTAAAGGAAACTACTCACAAGGTTGCTGAAAACTCTTCGACAGCCCACGACCAGTTTCGCCCTTCTTGGGGCTCATCAGGTAGGCGCAGTCCCCGAATTTCCATCAACCTTATGATCTATTTGAACCTTATTCTAGTTTTGGGGGCTAGATGATTCAGTGGTTAAGAGCGCCGACCGATTTACTGACCGGAAGGTCCGTGGTTCGAACCCGACCTCTGCCTCTCGACTTCCCTTGTCTAGGCTTGGGCACTTGTCAGCATTCCGGCCCTCGTGCCTGGGTGATACAACTGAACGATCTTATTTTATTATTATTCTGGAGTGTTACTTGTGGCCAGACTTCTTCTCAAGACATGCTTCGGATGCATGTGTAAGTTTTTAAGGCACTGTCTGTCGTCAGGTGGCTGATGTGGATTGGTTTCCGAAGGAGCGAACCGGGGAGACACGGTGAGTACAACGATGACTCAACATTAAAACCCTTTCTTTAGCTCCTAGCAGCTTTGTTTGTTTGTTTTTTTCTGATGTCAAAGGATGCTCCATCCTCTACCCCCCTCAACAGGCTGGAGGGTATCCGTCGAAGTTACAATCTCAGTAGCACCTGCACCAAGTGGAACGACTCGAGTTTCTTATCTCAACCAAGCGTTCGACCAAGTGTGGCAGAATCACGGCAGTCCAAGAATAACACCGATCGTCTGTTCAAGTAAGTTCTTACTTGTTTGTTCTCTGTTTCATATCATTTCAAACAACCTCTACACTCATTCGCAAATCAATTTGGTTTTCACGAAAGACTCAACTGAATCTCTCATTTATGATATTCTACAACTGAATGTGCTGTACACAGGCCGCCTCATATTTCACTTGGCACAATATTCGAGATATCGCAGTATATTTTAATAAAGGAAACTACTCACAAGGTTACTGAAAACTCTTTGACAGCCCACGACCGGTTTCGGCCTTTTTGGGGCTCATCAGTTAGGCGCAGTCCCCGGGTTTCCGTCAACCTTGTGTTCTACTTGAACCCGAATTGGACTGTTTTCGTGGGCTGTCGAGGCGTTTTCAGAAACCTTGTAAGTAGTTTCCTTCATGAAAACCTTTACTGTTCTTTACTGTTTCAAACAAGTCGTTTCGTTAGTAGGATGGAGAATCGTCGCCGTTACGCAGTCATCTAGCCTGGAAGTTGTTACGGTGTGGAAGCGCGATTTTGAAAGTTGGTGCTTGTGTGTGAGTTGTGATATATCGTTATGGCGCTCAACCATAGGACAGGGGGACTATTCGGGCCCTCAATGTCTGTGGCTCAACAGTCTGACCGGAAGACATCGGTGGTCGGTTTGGGTAGACTAAATTTTCGGGAACAAATTACCGAAATTGTTCCCACTCCCAACCCAGAGGACCCAGATACCTGTCAGGCCTCTACTGGTTGACCCTGTGTTTGCATATTCCCCAATACAGTTCAATGAGGTACGCGAACTCTCCCATCGCGATAACTCCTAGTAGCTTTACAACGTCTTAAGTATGATAGGCATTGCCAATCAGTAAGCCTGAAATGTGTTCGGACCATAGATCCGTTGGTTGCGCGTTAACCCACAAGCCCTTTCGATGACCAGTTCTACTGCTGTCGTCGCAGCTCATGTGATTGTGCCCCGCGTTTGAAGATGTGGCTGTGAACTGATTGATGTCACTGACGTTCTCGCTGGTGGTTTCCATCTAACTAGATTACCTAACTGTGTTAAGGTGAGGGCATACAAACATCTTCGTGGCAAGCTTGCACTTCTTTCGAAAACAAAGCTTTCTCTCGCCGGACTAACATGCTTTTAGGACAACCATGAACCCCGGCATTTCCGCCAGCGAGCGTTGTCGTCAGGTTGTCTTCATTCGCAATTGGAGTTCACACTACCGTATTCTTATTGTCCTTCAGATCCATATACACGCCGCCACCACAGCGGCACAGGAAGGTTCAAGATGGACCACGCAGGCGGTCTCCGCTCCATGCTCGACGTTCCTATCGACCGGTCCTTGGAGATACTCATACACCAGTTTCCATTCTCAAGGTACGTTTGACCCAGCGCCCCCTGGGTGCTTGAGGTTTTCTAACACATTTTTGGAATTTGTGCACGAGAGAATACGAGAATGAAGACTTCTGTCTTCAGTGTTTTGCGATTGCATTAGCACTCACAAGATGCCGCTGCATCTGAGTAATATAGACCAGTCTGGCAATACGGTCCTTCATACCAACTGATCCTCAATGGGCTACTGAGGTAGAGCCTATGAATTCGGAAATTCACGTGACCCAATAGACTCATTGCTTTTAGAACCACCCCGCTATTCGTCTACATCTAAGGTTGTTTTGGATCATTCAACGAACGAGACACCTTGACAAGTACTCAGTTTTCCTACTTTCTCCCGGGCTGCATTGAAAACTCATCACTCGTCAATAAAGGTGGATAATTGCATTCTTCTCTACAGATTTACGCCATACTGATGGGCTTTCTAACGCCATTGAGTTTCACACTAGCGTGGCTGTCATGAGTGGGTAGGCCTCCGATAGCCACACCTGTAGCACATCATTCCATCTGGATTGAGGTTAGTGCATCACTGAGTATTCTCCCAGTTCAACCACCTCACCAGATCACCTCTGTGTATGGACACCAGTTCGCTCGCTCCTGTGGGGCCCGGTACTCTGGTCGACCAACTGGAATGCTGTTCAGACACTGGTTTTCAGTTGTGCAACGGATAATTCCATTGAAGAATGTGTCCAGAACCAGAAGCTGGACTAGTTAGGCCATGTATTGCGAATGTCGAACCATCGCTTGCCGCTTGGCGGAAGCAGACAGGTGGCCAACTCTTGACCTGGCAGAGAGGTATGAAAGAGACTACGAAGCGTTTGGGTGCTGTTGGTACGACTCATCTACCAGGATGGGTAGATGCGTGATTCTCACTCGCCTTGGTGGGAGACGCTGCAAGATATGACTACCAGCCGATGTCTGTGGCGATCTTGTAATCAGTTTCTATCCAGATTGACTGAATGAGCGTTTGGAGGTGTAGGCACCTCGAAATGGTTGCAGTAAGCTAGCACTAAGTCCCTTCCCCATTCACCTTTATTCCTTTCTTCACAACAAAGCTTTCGATTAGAGCGTGGATGTACGGCAGCAAAGCATCGGTGATGTCATGCTGTTCGTGATGATGTTGATGATTGGAAGTATGCCTTCCTTGCTCTCCAGAGGTGCTAGCACACCTTGTGGACACATGACACCGAGTAGATCCTGCAACAACATTTACGGCCATACACCAGGTTCTTCTGAACTTGTTGTGGACATTCAGGATCCTGACCACAGCAGAAGTCGTGGCCATCCGAATTTCAAGGCCAGGGTTGTGAGTTTTTTGAAGCGTCTGGTCCTCACTTATACTGGTTTTACTCGCTCGAATGATTGTTCTTTTACAGTCTGTGACTGAATTTTCGCCTTCATCACAAAATATCAGCATCATTCAAGCGCATTGCTCATTAGCCGGTACGCATGTCCTGGTGGGTACGGTCTTGTCTCGCTACACCAGCACCTCCGGGCAGCTACTCTAAAAATAAGCAACCCTAGCGCATGGATCGATGCCGTATCATGGATCCGGGGGAAGGAGAACCTTGGGGAAGAAGTGTCATCAGCGGAGGAATTCTTTGGGCAATTTGAGTATGCTGTCCGCAACACATTCTACTTTATCCACTCATTTAAACCATGATTTGAACAGCCAACCAATGCATCAGTTTACGCCCTACGCTTACACCACTTGAGCCTTGCACTATGATTCCTTTGCTCTATTGTTTTGTGGATCGTGACTTTTCCAAGGGAGTAAGTTCGATGATTCTGTTGCATGAACGCTGTAGGGGGGAATGGGCTGGCCACTGTGGCCTGTCCACCAGAGCTACCTGGTCGGAAGAGTACTGCATCTGGGCCTCTTTACTGTCGTTTCATTTTCTGCTTGGTTCAGTCCCCAGCACCACCGAAGCCCTCCAGTGTGTCTCCTACGCCGGTTGCTAACGGGTCCACGACCGCGGAAGAACACCACCTTGATGCTACGCTAGATGAAGTGGATAGCGACGTGACCCTAAACCTCTCCACCATTCGCCCAAGTAAGTCGCTATCCGTTACCTTTGTTTTTCGCACACATGTGTTTCTGGAATCAAAGCTTACTGTGGCGTGGGCCGAAAGTTGTAAGTGTGAGCAATTCTACTCGTACACTCGCCAACCCTTTCCCAGTGCTCGAACCGTTCGTCCCTTCTAACAAGATAGGCATCCACAAAACTGTATTACTAGCTGTACAGGCAAACAAAAAAACTTTCAGCTGTAGCACTCTTCCGGCGCCTAGCTGAAAGGAGCACGAGGGCTGAGATACTGCTGGTTTGCCCAAGCCTAGACAGGGGAAGTCGACATGCAGAGGTTGGATTCGAACCACGGACCTTCCGGTCTAATCACTTGAGCCATCTCGCTGTACAGGCAGGTTTGAGATAAAAGCAGTTGTCGATCTGCCAGTGAGTTTTTCGAAACCGATTATAATTCGCCTGACTAAATCGCATTTGGTCAGCCTACCGATTCGGTGTCATTGCGGACAATCGTCGATAAAAGCGGTTGTTGTCCGAGCTGAACAATCAGGTTGCAGACGTTTCTTTACCACTCGACACTTCATTGTGGTGCGAAGTGGTGCGCTGCGTCGTAGCGTTGAACAGTTGCGTGCATTTGGTTGCCTACTTACGATTGACGCTTTATGTAATGGTTACTGATGGATAGCCCGTTAGCTTGTGTTCTAAAAGACCAGCGAAAGAGGAACTGTTTTTCCGGTCCCTCCACAGTGCATGGTTTGCCGTCTTCAATAAAAGACTTGGCAACACCAGGGTGGTGTTTGCTCGAAGTTGACTACCTTTTGCGGGAAGCAACTTTGTCACTCGGAACACCAGAGCCGTGCGGTTACCTGTTTCGCGCTTGAGTTTTGTCCGAACCGCGGGGAATTTTCTACGTGGTCTCTACCCGCAGCCTGCTGATAGCTAGAACTCCTCCTACCGTGGAATAACGGTTAACTTCATTCGGATATGTCCGAAAACAATGATTGTTGTCTTTGCCTTTCTAGTCACCAGTCCTCCGGAACGATGAGGATAATACTGCAAGCTGGTGTAGTCGCTCAGCAATCTAATCGAATTACCATTCATCGTATGTTTGTTCATTTGATTAGTATCGTCGTGGGAATTTCGCAACATTCTCAGTGCCGTTTTTCGTACCAAAAACAGCATTCAGCTGTGTTTGAGAGCTCTTTCTGTCCGAGTTGCATAGCGCAGAGGAGTAGAATGAGAAACAGGAAGAACCCATATGAATTGACACTAGAAAGTGGAACACTTTAGTCGCCAGAAGTCGTACCCTCGAGATTCCCGCTGGATTCCCACTTTGTGGGACCGTGCCTTACACAAATCATACTTTGAATTGTCGCCTCAAAAAATACCTCCATATTTCTTCAAATGGTACTTGTCGTTCCCTAATTGTGTGCATCATTTCGACAGGCCCAATCTTGTGTCCGAATAGTTGAGTGGAAAAAACGTAGTGCTGTGTTTGACCCGATTGATTGTGTAATGTGACATGTTTATTCACACAGTGTTTCCTTTTCCCTACTTTCCGTTTTTCACATTCCAAGTTATTTTGTCAAACGTTCACTGATAATTGGAGTTTGTATGCTGAGTTAGTCATTTCGGACCCCCCGAGATCTTTGGTTCTCAGTTTGCCAGGAGTTTACAGAGTGTCTCGTATCTGACTCGAAAAATGCGGTTCCAAGCATCCCTTATGTACTTTTGTGAATGAATAGAAAGTTCTTCGAAATCAAGTAACATTTCTACTGCATATTCGGTTAAAGACAGTTGTAAACGAGAGGTTTGTTCGGATTTCGATTGAATATGTCCTGTACACCAGTTTTCCATATATGTCTGGTTTACTGGGCGCCGTTGACTGTTTGAATTCTTCACGGACGCATTACCGGAGCTTCGCCGTATAAAAGAAAGCTCTTCACCAACTAGACGTCATCAGCATCGGTGGTGACATCCCAGTGCATATCTACCAATCGATGTAACATTCCGAAGCCCATGTTACTACGTATACCGAATACCGTCCATCACAATCATGCGCAGTAAGGGTCCAGAATGACGAGTGCAACTTTGTCTAGTGAAGCAGAGCCACACGGTCGCAAGATCGTACACCTCGTGACCACCTCTGTGAGAGTTCGACACTTCCTTTGAGCGTGCGCATTAGAGGTACCCAATGAGAAGCTCTGCTTTCTGCCGCAATGTTGCGTGATAGCTCAGGGCCCACACATCCAGTCAAAGAGTTCAAGGACAACTGACTCCTTTCGAAGCGGCTTCTTTTAAAGGTCGGATCTCAGGAAGTAGACATCAGGTTGCTTGAAAAAGCAGAAACAAAAGCTGAGTCAGTTTGTTGGATACCCCGAGCTGATGCTGCTGCAAACTGTTTTTCCCTCCTTGTTTCATATTGGAATGTGTATCTGTTGTGGAGTGAACTTGTACTTTCTCTAGTGATCAGTGCGCCCATACAGCTTGGAGGTTTTGTGTCTGCGACGGATATGATGAGTGGCTTCCTTGTGGTGTACATCTACAATATAGATAAGCCAATCAAATTGCTATTATTAGCGATTCGATGCGATTCTCGGTTTTCGTGTAAAAACGAGCTTCCTTAGAAGAATGAAGCTAAAAGGCACACTTAACCGGGCTTCACTTTGTCCCTTCTGGAGAAGCCATGTGTTGGGACCGACAACACCTGGTCTCCTCTCCTTCCCCAGGAGGGAGACAACTGTATCTAACGAAATACACTCATTTGCAAACTAATTTGATTTTGCGAAAGACTCGCTTGGAACCCAACTGAATCTCCCGTTTGTGATGTCCCTAGGCAACTGATTGTTCTGCAGCAGGCCGCTTCATGTTTAAGTCGCTGCGATATTCTAGATATCGCGATACATGTATATTTGCAATGCACTACTCATAAGGTTGCTGAAAATGTGGGCTGTCGACGAAGTTTCAGCAACCTTATGAGTAGTGCATTACAGATATACAGCTGTATCCACTTGAATCGCATGCTTCGAATGTCAGTTTGCTCATTTATGGTAGCGGATTTTGTAGTGTGTGAGTGGCTTTCTTGTGATAGTTTGCTTTTTCTAGAAACTTTGGAGCGGAAAGGCCTAGTTTTTATGGTTCTCGATGGGAACATGGTTCCTCTCGGCGCTGCTCATTCGTATGTCTCTGTCTGTTGTTGTGTGCTGACCTTATCCGTCCGAATTTCTTTGGGCTTGTTTCCAGGTTGTGCATCTTTGACGGCAACCCCTCTGGTCCATACCCCCACCCCACATAGCTCCGTCACGTCCGTTTTCACTTACCCAGCTCCACAACGTCTCTCCATGACCCGTTTGGTGAGTGTTTTCTTTCTTGGAAACTTGATGCACTTTGAACAGGTTAGAAGTTTTTCGGGCTCGGGATGGTTCCGACTCACTCTACAGATTGTTTCGTCTTCCTCATGGTTCGAATTAGGCGGTCTCCTAGTTTGTAATGGTTTCTCGATTACGGTGTCTAATCTGTATCACGCTAGCAAACTTGTTTAGAAAACTCAGAAACTTAGAAAACTTAGAAAACTTGTTTTCGATCTTCGAGAAATACACTCATTTTCAAATCAAGTAGATCATAAGGTTGACGGAAACTCGGGGACTGCGCCTACCCGGTCAACCCCAAAAGGGCGAAACCGGTCGTGGGCTGTCGAAGAGTTTTCAGCAACCTTGTGAGTAGTTTTCTTTCGATCTCTTCTCTGCATTGGAAACATGACTGGCTCGCACATGTGCATACAAACTCTATTTTCATGGTTAGATGATCGCAGAAAGCGATTGTGTGTTAGTCGTAAGTCTCAGTTAATACTCTCCAATGGAAATGTCTGCTCCTAGTCCTCACTGGCTTTATTCCTCGGAATTCGAAAGAGCGCCTTCTTGACTCAGAATTCGCTTCGTGAATTACCAGGTAGAATAAGAGAAAACGACTGATCTCCACGTGATATTTGTCGCGAAAATGAAGCGAGCCTGTAGGCAGTTCGTAACCTTGAATGAGTTGGTGGCTCGTCAGGGTAGGTCTCTGGCCTGCTTCACCCCTTTCAGTCTATTGATACCTCCAATCGCTTCTTCCAATTGTCTCACTTGACACCTTCACCTGATCCTTTCAGTCCCCAAATGAAACGGAAGAGCAGGAGAAAGTGATCAAATCGGAACCAGAATTCCACTTTGCCGTTCCACTGAGCCAGCCATTTAAAAAACCCGTATCTCCCCCAAAATCTTCTGCATCAACGACTAGTCACGAAGTGGTGCTGCCCGACGCAGAAGACAACATGGTGATCACACCTGTCAGGTGAGTTTTTGATTGGTTCCACTACCGGTGATTATCCCAGATCATTCGAATGTGATATGGTACTTCGTGCATCTCAGAGACATTTTGATACACGTGCATAAAGCTGGACGCATGTGCCCGTAGTCGTTGTGAAATTGTGAGTTTCTTTCGGACGCGACAACCGCCAATAATGGTTACAGACCTCGACTATCTATAGTGGTTCTGAACCTCCAGTTTCTTAACGTCAGCTGTTTTTCCGGACAGGATCTACAAACTGCATATTGATGGCTATCAGTGTATGATGTATGGCTGGAGGGACCGGCAGCCTATGTCTTCTGGGCGCGGTAGACTACCATTCGGTTGTAATAGGGTCAGTTTTATGTTGAGAGAGGACTGTCCGTTGCAGAGGGTTTGCCCTCACTTACGGCACCATGAAGTCACTGCAGCGCACAGGTTAGAAAACCTTCACAGCCATCCATTCAGTCAGTACTTTTGATGTCAAACCCGATTGCTGTGTGCATCAAAAGTTAGCGCATGGCAAAATTTACAAATTCCATCCATCCTTACTACTTCTCATGGGACGAGGGGCTTTCCCAAGTTACACTGTTAACAAAAATATGAGCATGCAACTTTGCTGATCTTTACTATGTTCCCTATGGAAAATTGCCAGTTGATCTCTCCTTTTTCTGCTTTTTCAGACCCAGTCACCAAGACGAAATGGCACGAACGTCTTCAAATCCCCCTACCTCCGGTTCTGCAAGCCCTATCAAGAAGACAGTTCATCAGCCGAGTGAAACTCTTCCTGCTTGGCGGTTTTTGAGCACTAGTCAGCCGGATCGCATCAAGTCTCAGCCGGATACTTCTGTGGCTGGCGATGCGCGACTAGCAGAAGACGATTCTATGGACCTGGATGACACCGCGTCTGTGACGAGCTCGATGAGCGAGTCGTCAATGTCTTTAGAAACTCCCCGTCGTTCTGGGCGCCGTGTTCGTCCTCCAAAGCGTTACGATCCCTCGACTTTCAAATGAGATGTTGATTGTTGTTGATGTTTTAAATAGATCATCAGATGTTTATAACAAAGTGTATTTTGTTTTCCGGGTTCTTATACGGGTGTCTTCTCAAATGATTATAGTCCGCCGTACGGATATCGTTCGCCAACTTCCTCACTGTGGACAGCAACCACTCATAGCACTCAACACCAACCTATGACAATAGGTTTATTCTGAAAACAAATAATAAACAAAGCTACCGAATATGAAGTTGGATTATGATGATGCTGAAAGCCTTACAAGAACACGATATGTTTAATTTGTTTTCTAGGAACAGTGTTTGACTGGCCAACACACTCTTAGGGCCCTCTCGCATCATTTTTGCTGACCGGGTGGAGCAACAACGTGCACCGGGTAGCTTTCACTAGTCGCATCACACAGTCCGTCATAGCCTTTTTATGGAAAACTCTACGAATGGTTACTCCGCCACAGGAGAGGTGATCTAAAGGTCCCGAATTTGCGCACCTCATAAGTTTTCATGAAGGAAACTTCGACAGCCCACAACCGGTTTCATTCTTCTTGGGGCTCATCAGGTAGGCGCAGTCCCCGAGTTTCCGTCAATCTTATATTCTACCTGAACCCAAATTGGACTATTTTCGAGAAATACACTCATTTGCAACTCCATTTGGTTTTCACGGGCGACTCAATTGAATCTCTCGTTTATGATGTCCTCCAACTGAATGTGCTGGACACAGGCCTCATGATTCATTTGGCAAGATATTCGAGATATCGCAGTATATTTTCATAAAGGGAATTACTCACAAGGTTGCCGAGAACTCTCGTGAAAACCAAATTGATTTGCAAATGAGTGTATTTCTTGATCCCATAAGTTTCTTTTGCATTCATTTTTTGGGAGAGGTCGAGTGGCTCCTCTCTCCACTGTCTCCCTCCGTAAACACTTCGTCAATTTCAAGTTCTAACAACTTGTTTTACTTCCAGTTCCATACCATTCTGATCTGGAACTGTGGTCACCGCAGTGTGGCGACTCTCACATATCAATTAGAATTTGACAAGGCTGTAGAAGTCAACTTTCTGGAACTTGGTGATTTGGCGCACATATTCAAGTCAATACGTACACTTGCTGAAGGAATTTTAGAAAAAAATTAAGTTGCGTATTCACAGGTCGTATGGGTTGCCTGAATTGTGACCTATGGAAATCGAGATAAATTTCAGTTTCATGAGTAGAATTCCCACCTGTTAGTGCTGATCACTTTCGTGAGCCTTTAATGTTTCCTTCATACACGCTTATCGTTTAAATTTTGCGATCCTGGTAGGTTACCACGGCTTCCTCATGCGCACTATCTACTCCCGGAATCTTTCCTCAGTAGTACGGAATCAAGGTTAGATTCAGAGATAAATCTTTAGCCATATACAGCTTGGCAACTATCAGCTGGGTATCCGTTGTGTGCCCCCAGGCGTACGACCCATGTCCTGTAGTTCAGGATGGCTGGTTTCCAAGCCCACATGAAATCTTCAGTTCCTGAACGAGATTCCCTTGACTGTTGTTTCGAGTCGGCATTGTTGATGCGGCGTGTTTCACAGGATGGGGCCTGAATAATCCTCTCGAGTAAAGTGTGATCGTACACCAGCAAAGCGTCTGTGTTCAACGCTGCTACATATATAGATGGCTTCGTTCGGTGGAGCCAGGTCTGCTTGGTACGTTCTGATAAACCTTAATAATGGTATAATATTGTCTATTGGAGATCCGACCGGGTTGTTTTGCTCGCAAAATGACTCCTAGGTACATTTCGCACATCCCCGCCTTTCGATGAACATTTCTTGCATTCATGAATCACCGGATGGATAGGAGCTTTGTCTGCCCTAACTGCTGTCTTGGGGCTCCCTTCCGTCCGATCTTCAAATGCACTACTGTCTCTGACACCACCACTGCTTAATGCTTCATTGTTCTCCGATGTCGACAACTAGTGAGGGTGTCAGTACACCCTAAACAAAATGATGTAAATGTGCGGTACAATCAAGTCCCAACCTATAGCGGATAGCAACTGAAGAGATAAGTGTGCCTAATGGTAACCTACCGCATGACCCTCCAACCAACAGTCCAGACTATCTGGGAGAAAGCAACACAGGGCTAAGTTGGCTTAGAGGCTTGCATAACTCGATGGTTACGATTTTTTTAGTGGGTATCTGGATGACGATTGGAGGAAGATCGAAGAAGCCATGCTCTCAGCTTTCCAATCTGCCTTGTCGACATCACCGCACGCCTCTGCCGCTTTTATTGAAGCTAGGAAAGTTATGCCATCGCCATCATAGATAATGACATCACTACTAACACTGATGCTTCATCGCCGTTTTTAGTTCCACTTAAGTACAAAATGAAGAGAGGAAAAAACATTGGGTGAGGATGAAACCTGATACCGTCCTATCGCGAAAATTCTGGGGTGACCTACTGGGTGCTAGGTCAGTCAGTCTGACATTCAGCCACTGATATCGTTTAGCCACCATTCCCTGCAATGTCACCGGTCAAACCCAGGAGTCATCCCCATCCTAGAAGGCAAACCGCATCAACAATATTTGTACTCTTCGTAATCTCCCTCGGGCTCTTCTGCTGAATCACGTGTTGTCCACCACGCGGTTTCCGCCATTCCGAATGAGGTTCAGGGGGAAAAATAGTCGTCTCAGTGGACTGTTTCAGAATAAGTACCAAATGGCCCGAATCGCCATAGTTGGTGGAGATATATGTAACTGAAGTGACTGCTGTGCGGCCTTATACCGGTTTTTTAATTTCCTCTTCACGAGTTCGTTGACACCAGCAGTGAATATGATGGCGCATATGGGTCTCTTAAACGCCGAGTAATGACAAGCCGTGAGATTGAGAGAGCTGGTAGACATGCGGTCAGCTGGCCCGAGGAGGGTAAATTTTGGTGAAAAAATCTTGGAAAACAATGAGCGAACAGTTCGGAGAACAGATCAGCTAGCCCCACCAACTCACCCTCTGGGAGAACAAGATGAACTCGAAGGGAACATCTACATTAGTCCAGGGGGCAATTTCAGTGCATCAGTTTAATAAAGCACCTAGTCCATTTGGTTTGCATCCTGCATTCTTAAAAAAAGTGGCTAGTTCGTCATGACTAACCTGACGACTCTATTCCAAGATGTCAAGAACGAGGAACAACTACAACTAGATGAATAATAGATCACCTTCCAGCTGTAACACCCTTCCGGTTTCTAGCTGCTATGTCACCCGGAGGAAGCACAAGGGCTGTGATACTGCCAGGCTGCCTAAGCCTACACAGAAGAAGTCGAGATGCAGTGGTCAGGTTTGAACCACGGACCTCCCGGCGCATACCACAGAGCTCCTCATATATTCAAAAGAAGTGTGCGATAATATAGTTCGAAGACAATTGAGTTATCATTCTGGCTACCATAATTTTCAATACCTTCTCGGGTGTTATTTTGTGCAGGTCAAATCACCATCGGAAGGGTTGGAGTCATAAAGACCCAGCTGAATTTCGCTCTTGCTAGGGTTTAATTGATCGTGGTAACACAGAAAGACACCGTTTACTAGTCAAATCAGTATCGCTACTAACTACGGACTCCTCGGAAAGGGACCTTGGGAAGCGACGAATGAACGGCTATGGCCGTGTAACGTAGTCTATGCCAGTCAAAACTATTGCCTTTTTTTCCGTAGCTCGTTCACTCTGTGCCATGCCGGGCAAGAAAATGAACTGGCCAGGCCATTGTCCCATTCCCTTATTCACACCATCCCAAGTGAGCGAGGCTGTAGTGATTGAAGCCATAGTACTTTGGAGCATGTATTACAGCTGGCAAGCGAAACTATTCGTTAAATTTATTCTATAGATACAGAACACGCTGAAACACCAAAGACGCGAATGGTTTACCTACCATGGGGACATTCGTAGTTTAAGCCGGTTACTATCTTGCTTAGAGATCCCACAGCATTTTAGAATAGCGTAGTGTAACATTATTAACTTTTGAGCCCGTGCCACTTGACACGTTGAGAGGTATATGATGTTTTGTGGCTAAGAGGTATATTCTTCAGTCTATGAACTGCACACCATCGGTTGTCTTCAAACAGATCTGCTAAGTTCCGCTCCTCAAACCCTACCCTTATTCACATGTCAAAAATAGAAAACAATAAGTTGGAATTTTAGAGGATTTTCTCCAATGGGCTTACATATTTGATTTCAGATTGTTTCTTTTTGATTGTCACACGCAAATATAAGTTGATAAATGTGGTATCTGCTTTTACCATACCATCCATTTTCGATCTTCTCTTCACACGGTTTAGTGGATCACTTTTTCGGATTCATGATTCCATCTAGCTGGGCCTAAAAAGAAACGGATCACAGGGATCAGTTATAAATATATGCTTAACATATCTCTAAATGACGTGTGCATCCTTTTTAAAGAAACTACTGTAACAGATCGTGAGCTCGCTAACTAATGTTTACTGAAATCATCCATCTATGGTATGAAAGCGTTTACTTTTTACAAAATAAAACGGTGGTAGGTTCACAATCTATCGTGCTTCAATTTTGCGCTCTGTTAGAAGCTATTCAGCATTAGTTTTCAGTTAAAATGCTTCTGCTAGACGAACATACCTTCTAAACTTTTTCAACCGCACTGTGTTTTCTGCGAAGGATCGAATAACCCGTTTTCCCACTAGAACCATCTTCCTGTTCATAGTTGTGTTCTACTCGATTTTTGTCGTGTTGTAGAAACGGTCCATATCTGACATCTTCCAACAGAGCAAGCACCCCTACACTGTCTGTCTTCCCTAAAAACGGTTTATTGAACATTGTGGAGGGGAGAAAACGATTCATTGGAGAATCCATTGATGAAAGCACCCCGCTGTTATAGCACGGGCAAGGCACGGTTTATTAACTGTTCTTCTTTATGGCCTGAGGGTTGATGCGCATCTCTAGACTCTTTCTGGATCCATTTACGGCGTATCTGGTGAACTCATCTGGAAACAACTTTAAGGTGAAACCCCAAGTCACTCAAAACGGTTGCTGATGTCCACCTGGGTTTAACTTTTGCGGGTTTAAGTCTTTACAGTTCTCTCATTCCTGGATTTTTTCAGAACAGATAAGCCACATTCCCAAATTACCTGATTGCATGATTGTTTTTCTTCAATTTACTTTTGGGTGGATATTTCTTATTCACAAAAAGAACAAACTGAGGCTTACTGGGAATCTTTATTTAATTGGAAAGAACTGTTTCTCTAATTAGCGACCCCTCATGACTCGGAAAAACTTCAATAACTCCTGTTGGTTGATGGCTCAATTTCGGTCAGCACTAGAATGTAATAGAAGCATACTGAGTAAGCTGGCCTCATAAACTCCATCGTGATTCCATCTACTCCAGTTTATTTTTCGTTTTCTTATGGGTCCACTAATTCGTTCTTTGATAAGGTGCGGGGTATGTTCAACAAACATTGCTTGATTAAAGAAATTAGCGGTGATTTTGTATGAAATGTTGAGTTTCCTTGTATGTTTATTGGGTCATTTGAAGCGATGATATGCCCAATTAGTTCCTCCATTTTGTTATATATCATAACACTGTGCAAAATTAACATGCACAAAGTATAGTCTCCTGGTTCTGTAGCCATCATCAGAATACCAAAACACGTTTCCCCACAGATAGCACCGACGTCTTCCGCTCCACTATCAAGCTACATATAGTACAACAAAGCGTCGCCAATGTCACTCAGAAAACAGAGCTTACCTTGAGCTGTTGGTTATTTCGCTTCAGAAACTGAATTTCCTCTTGGTGTTTCTTCTCCTCCAGTTGTCTTTGTTCTGCCGCACGCTTCTCAATGTGTTCACATTTTGTCTTGAGCTCATGAACTTGTCTTTCCAAATCTCGCTTTTCTTGTTCTAGATCAGCAATCTGTGGAGAAGGTGACTCAACTCATAACCACATGAAAGCTTTTTATACATAGCTGAATGCATTCACTTAGTATTTTTTATCCATAGAACCTTTTATTTTTATCAAGTGCCGCATTTTATGTGCCGTTAGCTCATGGGGCTTACCATGCACAACATTTGCTTGTTGGTTGATTGTGCAGCTAATAATGCTAAGCAACTACTCTGTCGTTGACAGCATCGGTTCAACTGGGAGCCTGGTTTGACGTGCAGCCTCATTGATTTGCCACATCCACAAAACAAGTTGGTTGTAGAACATTGATAAAACTCTGTGAACGCCTAATGTTTTACTAATCTGAGTAACAGATACGTACGTTTCAACCAATGGCTGTAGTTCTGAGACCACGTGGATTGCTGTTGCAAATACATCTTTAGCACAATCATCGCTTACATTTCTCACTAGTGTGCATGCAACTGAGAGGTATGTAACACAGTTGTAACACTTCTGGAGTTCTGATCACCATGACTAATGGTTCGATGTATTTCATTATTGGAATTTGACCAAAGGTATAGCTTAGCACTGGAAGCTGTATTGAAGCTGTATTGACTTAGCCATGTGCCGCGAATATCCAGTTGTCATCTGCCTGACATATTGTTGGTCTATGTGCTCAGGCAGAGTGCCCACAGAAGAGGCGTGCCGGACCATCCCTCTAACGGAAGTGCGTGAAAGTGATTTCCAGTATTCTTTATATTATAGACCTGACCCGTCATTATCTGCGTGATATCATATTTGGTTTTCTGAAGACACCGCAAGGCATGGGTATCAACAGCTGTCAAAATTGATTATGTTTCTTGTCTCAGTTTGGCTTGTACAATGCAGTACCTGAAGATTTGGTATTATAGCCATCGCTTTGTAAATTTCAATATTTTTCCACAATACACCCCTCAAGTAAACTGTAGCTATTGACGGTAGTACTGATTTCACTCCTTTTCTTTGCCTCTCAATACGTATGAGCTGGTTTTCTTCTTGTATATTTTTTCAACCATTTTCGTGCTGTTATATAATTGCGTCCAGTAACAGGACGGCTGCTGTCAGTCACGGCTGCACAGAACGCATCGTAATTCCTATTTCTGCAGTGCATACAGCATGCTGGCGCATGTCTAATTTTTAAAATTCGCCTTGATGGCTCTGTTACTGGTTCTTCCTCGTTCTCTAAAACAGTGACACCGTCCCACTTCATTCAGTTCCAACTCAAGTGTAGTTAGCACGATGTTACAAATGTGAATGAGTGCTATGTAAACAAGAAGCAGCAACCGAAAACCTAAATTTGATGCAATGTCCTCGTGACTGATTTTCGATACACTTTGTTTTTCTTCCTGGTTGTTGACGTACTTCCCTGCTACGGATTTTACTGGAAACCCGCAGTAGTACAACTTTATTCAACGCATTTTAATGCTACACTTTCTTCTACTATCATATTCTCGTTACTCAAATTTCTGATTCATTCATAAAGCACCAGTAAGCACAAACTTTTAGGAAAACTCTGCTCCCCGTTTTTGTATTACCTTTTATTTCGTCTCACTGAACCTAACATGCCGCCCTAAGGATACGAATAACAACCATATAGTGAATGTTTTGTCTTCGGATTGTGATCTTCAGCGCCCAGCAATCTCGAATAAAAGACTGATGTTTCACAGGACGTCCTGTGATTCATTTGGATGAAATTCGTCTCTGTGGTTCTTTCTTATATACGTTGGTGCTTAAAATCTCTAAACACGTAGAATCCCGCGCAGCTTGGTGCCTATGGTTATGTGCACTCAGAAAATCTTGACAGGCTTTCGGAATGTGACCTACCATTCTCTCCATGTCTGCCCTTCCCTGCTCCGCTTGTAACGCCTTTCGCATACCAAAAGCAACACTGGACTCGTAAAGCGTCTGGTAGGCGGCAATTGTCATCCGTATCTCGTCTCGTACGCGCAGCAGTAGAAGTCCTCTTTCAGCGCAATTAATGGTAACTTGTCGAATAAGTTCATCGAACACCTGTAAATTTACAATACATTTATGACTGGGCAATGAATACCTGGTTATAAAGTTCACGTCGCACGGGGCATATGCCGGTTTCTCTAGCTTGACGTTGCTGAAGACGGCGGTCCAACTCCTCTTGTAAATTTACCACATCCAATCGAGTCGCTGGGGTGCTCGATACGTGCTGAATCCACAACTGTCCATTTTCAGTCCACTCTCTATCTGGCCATTACAACGGTTGTTTCCTTTACCTGGGCGGTAGAATAGAATTCAAAATTTCCTCTGTCTGCTGGCTAGTCTTCTGTTCACCACCACAGGGTTTGCCTTTGGATGGTGGGCACGGGATTGCTGAGCAATCACTAGCTTGCTGAACACCTTTCAGCGATTTAGCCTTTTAAAATCTATCCACTGATAAATTGAACGTTACTCGTGGGGTCTTTTTATCCAAATTCTTTGTTACTAAAATGGGTGTATCATATTTCACCAGAGAGACGCTTGGAGGCATCATTTTGACAGCTTAAAAAGCCGCCCTATGGAGTCATGGTCACGGTCTGCCGTTTGGGTGTATTTCAGTTCTCGTATCTCGGGGGCTCAGTATTCGGACATTGGAGTTGATTTTTCGAAAGCCACATCACTTTCAGAGTTACTGCTTCATAGTGTAGAATTTCTGTGCATTGTGAATTCGTAAGCAAATTATCCATATTGGTGACTTTTTAATTGAGCGAATCTTCAAGGTCAATAATCAACACGTTATGGTACGCGCGGTGCGTTCGAAATCGGTTTCGTTTTTCCTCGTGCAAATTTGTGAAAAGATTTTTTTGTTGTTCAATCTATTCACAGATTACACGCGAGTAATTGTTGAATTTTATTACTCTAACAAAACATTTGAGAGGTAACCCTTTATATTTTGCGCACACTTCCTATTTTACATCTAGTCCTAAACATGACATCAATTTATACCGATTGCCCTCTGCAGCCATTGGTAGACCACAACAGATGTGGGCAAAATGGCTGCCCGTCGAGCATCAAACGCGGTATGCAATGCCACGCCTGCAAGGCCTGGTGGCATTTCAAATGCACGGGATTACAGGACGACCATATAAGCCAATTAGCTAACTCTCCTGACCCGTTTGTCTGCGCCAGCTGCCTCTACGTCAATGAAGCGATGCATACCGCACCGAAGAGGAGAGTACCCAAAACGGTACCCAATCCCCAATGCAGATTCAGAAAGACCACTGCCAGTGTTCCGCTTTAATCGGGATACTCGACGCGAAATTAGAGTGTCTTTCAAAGGCACCGGAGGACTCAGGCGCTAAGAATGCAACGACCTGGACAAAAGTTGACAAGGAACATTCCTCGCTGCACCAATACCTCGCGACATCCATACCGGGCCCCATGGCTGCGAAGCAAGTCATACAACTTTCTGAAGCGGCTATAAATTCCGCCACAGCGTCTCTAGTGGACACTGGGGAAAAAGACTGATAATCTGAGGGTCATTCTCCGGAAAAATCACGTCAGAGAAGCCGGCACGGTCGATCCTTAGCAACGTCCTCACCAAGCCTGATCAATTGCTCCGCGCAGAATGGCTACGCCAGAAGGGAAGTAAGCGAACTCTTGGACTTCTTGTCACTCTTTCTTCCCCATCCGACGTGCAGGAGAACTTGGAGCGGGTTGGCAGCATTCAAAAGGCCAACCCAATGATCAGGCGCCTATCTGAGCATCGTCCTATAGACGCGCGTAAGCTTGGTCATAGCAGGTCCAGGGTAGAAGCACGAAACAGGCTTCCACCGGGCACCAAATCAGACGACGCCAAACTCATGACCAAGCCGATTGTGGTCATATCCCACTGTGCTCCAGAAATCAGGCCGTCGAAACCAGCTGCTTCTCCGGACAGCAGTTTTTATTCCATCTCCACAGGCCTCTCGCCCACCAAAGGCAGGGACGCCCTGGAAGAAGTAAACCCCACGCGCAAGCAGCGCCCAAACTACGTGGAGCTGTCAACGCTTATCTCCGTATCAGAGGACAAATCTGCAGCCGTGCACTCCTCAACAAAGTCACAGCCTCTGAATTGGACTGAGTCAGATGTGCGGGGACAAGAAGCAAACCCAATATCCAGCTCCACTTCGTCAAAAGCGGCCTCTCTACTTGTGGACACAACCGTCGCCCAGGACCCCGACAAACAAAGCCATAAACATGACTACAGCCATCCGAAAAACCCCTCGTACATCCAGCTGGCCACGCTGATCGCTGGCAGATCGGGTGTCCACACAAACACGAAAGAAGAGCGACTGCAGCCAAACAAGCCACATAAAACTCGCCAGATTAGAAAACTGCTGGTTGGCTTCAAGGTGCAGTCCTCCGCGAAGACGAGCCTCTTGGGAGCGCCACCAAAATCATTACTTCTTGGTGCCACCACCCAGCGCTCA